GGGTGAGAGGGGGTGGGTTGAGAGTGTGGGTTTGTGTTATAAATGGGGGGGAAGGAAGGTGTGTGTGGGTGTGCATATGCGTGTGGGGGGAGGGGGAATGAAGGTGTGTGTGGGTGTGCATATGCGTGTGTCCGTGCGCGCGTGCGTGAGAGCGCGTGCGTGTTAAGCAGTGAGGCGAAGAGCGCCCCCAGACGCGTCGCTCCAGGAGTGCGTCATGTGGCCGCCGCAACCGCTCGTGTGGCACATGTGACGCCCTCAAAGCGGTCGAGGCCAAGGGGCGCGCTGCGGCGACCCCAACCCGGAAGAAGCAGCAAAAAGAGGCTGCGGCCGAGGGTGCGGCGGTCGAGCAGGGGCCGCTCTGTCTGAGAGGAGCAGGTGCGGGGCAACCCTGGTGGGCGGCGCCGTCGGCGCCACCGGCCGCGGCCCCTGCGCTGCGAAAGCTGGGGCAGCAGGCGTGGCAGCTTGACTAGGCCCTGCGCACACCCGCTGGCCCATCGCAGCGCTGCTGCGCCACTAGGTGAGGTCCGCCCCCCCACCCTTCCAAAAAAACACTCCTCGAGCTGCTCATGTGAAATGCAACTGCACTTGAAAACAGGGTTGTTAACTGTTGCAAAATTAGTCACCCCCAGCTCCCACCCACAGCCGCCCCAGCACAGTCCAAAATCCCAAACAGACAACCTCACCACACGCCTGCGCACAGCTCTCCCTCCCCACCCTCAAAATGAGTCGTTCGTGCAACCTTTCGCCTCGCGAAACTGCTCGCGGGACAGCCTCCTTGCGGCACTGCCTGCTAATATGAGATTAGAAACCCCTCACTTGTGTAGCGCCTTGCCCCCCACATGTGATAAGAAGCCCGCTCACTTGCCCATGGCCTCCCCGTTGCGCCACTTGTTAAGGTCCCAGCCGCACTCCTTGAGCCGCTTGTTGAAGGCGATCACGCCGTTGTCGCTGCGCAGCGCCGGGAAGGCCATCTGCAGCAGCGTGATGCCCACACTGTACATGTCAAACCTGATGGGGTTCAGGGTTCAGGGTCCAGGGTCCAGGGTTGATGCAGGAGTTTAGGGTTGATGGGTTCAGGGTTTGCAAGGATGCAGGGTTTAGCGGGTTCAGGATGGAAGGGATCCAGGGTTTGGGATTCAGGCGGCCGCAGGCAGCCTGGGACTGGGGCAGCAAACACACGGCAGTCCGGCAGCAGTCCATCAGCCACGCCGAGCTGTTGGTTGAATAAATTTCTTCCAACCGCGGGGATGGGGCAGCGGGGTGCCAGGTCAGCGCGCGGCCGTGCTGACCTGTCTGGCGCCTCCATGCGCCAGAGGATGGGTGAGAGCAGGGTGGCCACGAACTTGGGGGGCGGCCTCGGGGTCTGGCGGGACATGATGTACTGCTGGGGGGGCGCGTACCTGTGATCGTGTGTGTGTGTGTGTGTGTGTGTGTGTGTGTGTGTGTATGTGTGTGTTTTGGGGGCGGGAAGGTGGGGGTGGTACATCGTGGAGGGTGAGTGGGGTCGTGAGGGGTGGACTACATTTTGCGTGAAGGGAGGGGGACAGTTCACTGCTTAGGGGTGCAAAACCCCGGGCTTAGGGGCGCGAAACCGGCGACCCGGACATAGGCGTGCTGTATGCTACGCAGCCGACGCTCTTGCCAACTCTTAGAATAGCGGCAGACCCGACGACACTGAAGACACCACCAGAACACATTCAAAAAAACACCGCCCGCCCCCCCCCCAGCGCTGCTACCCATATATATTGCGAACACTGAAAAAGGCAGGCAAGCTCCCCAGGCCCATGAAACATTCGCGACCATAATTCATTTCAGTGCAACCAGATTTTCAGGGAAGGCCCAGCAACTCGCAATCACCTGGGGTCCAGCAGGTACTCGTTGGAAACGCAATTGATGCCGAGCCGCAGGTCAATGAGCGGTCGCAGGCCCCCTCTCTCCCAAACAACACACATCCCCCACAACCCGCACAAATGCCGCAGCTGTCCCCACAAGGCTTTGCACGCCTACACAACAAGTTTGTACCGAAAGCCGGCAGTAGACAATAAAGCAAAAAACCCCAGCACCTGGGGTCCAGCAGGTACTCGTTGGGCACGTAGTTGATGCCCAGCCGCAGGTCCGCCGCCGCCCCAAAGTCG